TGTCGCTATCACCTCATGGTTAAGGGAGCTGGATCCACACGGCCAACTGTCTCTCTGGTAAGTGTACTTGCCCTCTAGAAATGTATTTAAAAAAAAGTTTAACAGATAAATCCCCACAAAATAGGGGCCAGCAGGTAGCGTGGTGGTTAAGGAATGGGACTTCCACATGGCCAACAGTGGTTCGAGTCCAGGACCTGGAGGTTTGAGTTCATGCGAGACGCGTGTGTACATGCCCCAAATCCCAGGAGATGAGCAGAAGAGAGGGAACTGCAGTGTAGTCATCCTTCCCAAGGGGTGATCTCTCACTTCCCCTCTCACTCTCTCTCTCTATGCCTCTCTGGTGAGCACATTGGCCCTATGGCAAAAACTGAGAAAAAAAGACAAAAACCCTGAACAACCCCTTAAAAAAATAAATGATCAGAAATACCTATAATTATATGTTTGTCCTAAAGTCCTTGAAAGGTGCCAACATTCCTACTAAAGTCACTGCTGACTTGTCTTCAGGATGAAAATGTGAGTGTGAGCTTTTGCCTGATCCCTGACCCAGAACTTTCATGGCTGCAGGGTCCTGGGAAATTTATGGCTGACTCTGTAGACACATACCTGGGCTGTTTTAATGCTCAGGTGAAGACATGCAAATGAAACTGCTTGGAGCTCTTGGTAGAAACAGGAGAAATTGTCATCAAAGATGCCTTCCTCTCCCTTAAATCTAATTTCATTAGCCCCCCACAGTGTCCTGGGAACTCAGGACATATCTCCCAGGCTGATGCTATCCAGGTTGGAGGTGCTCTTGAAGATCTAGCCTTCCCACTGGCTCAAGTAAGCTTATTTTAAGTCCTCAGATAATTCCTACTGAATTCAAACCCCAACATGAGCCCTGGAACCCAGCAGCACCTCCATACCACAGAAGTGATGAATGAGATAGGTCAGTCCCATGGGATTCTGTGAGCTCACAGTGGCTGCCAATTCCTATTCTTTGCTGATGTCGTGGGCTGAATTTTGCTCCCAAATTCATGTACCATCAATGAAATGGCTAAGTTACTCCTCTTCCTTCCTGAGTTGCTTTTGGACAGCTATCCAGGGCCTGGAAGTCTGTTCAGAGATCTCTTTCAATCAAAAGGACAGAGCCCTGAGGACCCTGCCCAGAACCCAGTCCTAAGACCCCTGCTTCCCACAGAACCCTATAGAGCTAGCTTGCACTTCTCACCTCTGCTTTCCCCTGCTTCCATGATCTGACCTCGCCCTGCCCACAACAAGGAGACAGGAAGAAAATAGGCCCTTCCTGGACACTCCTTATCTCCTGAGCTGTGCTGGTGGCTGACCTTCATTGTCTCACCTTAAATTTTCACTGCCCTGCAAGATAGGATGATTGTTTTTGTCTCACTGCTGAGAAGGAAGGCAGAGGCTCAGAGGTGCAACCACTTGCCCAGGGAGTTACAGCCGACGGGCAGAGGGCGTCAGCTGAGCACCACATGCGAGGATTCTGACTTCCAGATATAAACTGGAGGCCTTGGTTTTGCTTCATCTTCAGCCTTGACTTGGACCCTCAGCTCTGCCCAGTGCTCTTAGCACTTTGAGGCCTTTGCTGTCCTTCTACTTCTGTCAGGAGTACAGAGATTTCAATCTTCCCACCCCAAAGTGCTCAATCTAGTTTCAGCATCTGATACAGAGATCCAGACATCCCCACCCGCTGCTCCTGGACATAGTGGTGGTACTGTACACGACAAGGCAGGCCACCCCGAGCCATACAGGCAACACATGGAAGATTTGGGAGGTGCTCTGAGATAGAGCTGTGACCTCAGTCTGTGAGATGGGAGGGTGGGCAGAAGGAGCTGTGTAGGAGAGGGGATGCCTCATCCCTGAGCACCTCAGCAGCACTTCAGAAAAATCCACAGCTTCTCACCCTAGCCCTCCACCCTGAAAGGGCCTTGAGCAATGCCTGTGGGTTTTGTTTTCAAGGCTGCTGGTTGGCTCCACAGCTGTCATGGACATGAACTATGATCAATTATCCATGGTCCAGGGCATTTGTAGACTATACCCTAGACTCATGGCTCTTGAACATTGCTGGGTACCAGAACATGGAGGCCCAGGCTTGTTGAAGCAGGATTATGACCAGGTCCCTCAGGTGATTCTGTTAAGGCCATTGGTATGGTGGGGCTACTAAAAGTGCAGTCCATGGACTGGCAGTGCTGGCCTCCCCTGGGAGCTAGTAGAAATGCAGAATCTCAGACCCTTCCTCATACCTACTAAGACCATTGAAGAAGATGCTCAGGGGACCTGTGTGTATATACAGAAGTGTGAGAAGTCCAACACGGCCAATAGATGAGGGATGACTCATCAGGCACACTCTCTCATCTCATCCCCAGACAACCCTGGCAGATACATACCATTTTCCCAGCTTTAGAGAAGATGACATTGATGCTCAGAGAGGTGAGTGACTTCTGAAGACACAGGTCACAGGTGGGGGAGCTGGGGACAAAAACTCAGGGGTCGCATGTTCATCCCTATTGCTGCCCTGTTGCCCTCACGCCAGGATGCAAGTCCTTCGACTTACCTTAGCAGAACACAGGCCAGAAATATGCGTAGATGTTTATCCACCAGGATTAAAGCAAAAAGAAAAGAGTTTTCTAGTCAACCCTAAAATCCAACTCACCAGAACTGTCAGCTTTCCCAGGGCCTCAAACTTGCCCCTTAAAGAGTTCCTAGAAAAGACTCGCAAGAGGCTTACCATGTTCATCCAGCAGTATGTTGTCTGGTTTGATGTCTCTGTAAAAGAAAACGAAGAGGCTGGCAATGTGAGTCCTGTAGCTCTTGATAAACACGACACACACCACCATTCAGCACAAATGCCCAAAACACCCCGTGTGCTTGGCCCTCCCTGCAGTGAGGTCTTGCTGAGGGAGCAGAAGAGTACAGTTGACCCTCATGCAACACGGTTTTCAGCTGTGTGGTTCCACTTAACGTGGATTTTTAAAAAATAAATGTCGTAAATATATTTTCCCTTCCTTACGATTTTCTCAGTAACATTTTTTTCTCTAGCATAAGAATACAGTATATATGTAACATACAGAATTTCTGTTAATTGTTCATGATATCGATAAGACTCTGATCAACAGTAGGCTATTAAGACTTAAGTTTTGAGAGAGTCGAAGGTTAGACATGGATTTTCAACTATGTGGGAGATCAACACCCCTAACCCTACCCCCAGAGTTGTTCAAGGGTCAGTTGTAATTAGGTTAACAGTGGAACATCCCTGTTCTTACTTCACTTCTCTAACCCGGAACTTCAAGGAAATTGTGTAAAAAAATTTTTATCCTGAATATTTTTTTTGAGAGATTTTTGCTATAGGGTATGTGCATTTGCTGGAGATACAGAAAGAGACAGAGACAGAAAGTGAGAAATTGCCCCTCAGAAGGGTGGCCATGCCACAATCACTTCTCCTTCAGATTCCTCTCTGGATTTGGGGGGAGTGGGTGGGTCTGGGACTTGAACTGTGGTTGACTGTGTGGGAGCCCAGCAATGTGACCATTATGCCATCTGCTGGTCCTTCCCGAATAGCCTTAATTTTTGGTCTTAGAGACCTAGGAACTAAATTCTGAGAAGGTCAGTAACTTGTGCAGGTCAGAGGTCAGCAAACTACAGCCCCTAGGCCAAATCCAGCCCTGGCCTGCCCTTGTATGGTGTCTGAGCTAAGATTGAGTCTTACATCTTTAAAGGGCTCAAAAAGCAAAACCAAAATGAATATAAAAAAGAGACTAATGAGCCTTAATGCCTAAAGTAGGGGTTAGCAGGTGGCATGGTGGTTAAGGCTTTGCACTCCTACAGGGCCAACTGTAGTTCACTTCCTGGACCTGATGGCTTGAAAAAATCATACCAGGCATGTGTGCGTGTATGCCCCAAATCCTAAGAGGAGAATGGAGAAGGGACTGTAGCAAGGCTATCCCTCCTAGGAGGTGATTCCGCTGCTCCTGGACATAGTGGTGGTACTGTACACGACAAGGCAGGCCACCCCGAGCCATACAGGCAACACATGGAAGATTTGGGAGGTGCTCTGAGATAGAGCTGTGACCTCAGTCTGTGAGATGGGAGGGTGGGCAGAAGGAGCTGTGTAGGAGAGGGGATGCCTCATCCCTGAGCACCTCAGCAGCACTTCAGAAAAATCCACAGCTTCTCACCCTAGCCCTCCACCCTGAAAGGGCCTTGAGCAATGCCTGTGGGTTTTGTTTTCAAGGCTGCTGGTTGGCTCCACAGCTGTCATGGACATGAACTATGATCAATTATCCATGGTCCAGGGCATTTGTAGACTATACCCTAGACTCATGGCTCTTGAACATTGCTGGGTACCAGAACATGGAGGCCCAGGCTTGTTGAAGCAGGATTATGACCAGGTCCCTCAGGTGATTCTGTTAAGGCCATTGGTATGGTGGGGCTACTAAAAGTGCAGTCCATGGACTGGCAGTGCTGGCCTCCCCTGGGAGCTAGTAGAAATGCAGAATCTCAGACCCTTCCTCATACCTACTAAGACCATTGAAGAAGATGCTCAGGGGACCTGTGTGTATATACAGAAGTGTGGGAAGGGAGGATTGGCCAATGAAGGTGGGGTGACTCATCAGGCACACTCTCTCATCTCATCCCCAGACAACCCTGGCAGATACATACCATTTTCCCAGCTTTAGAGAAGATGACATTGATGCTCAGAGAGGTGAGTGACTTCTGAAGACACAGGTCACAGGTGGGGGAGCTGGGGACAAAAACTCAGGGGTCGCATGTTCATCCCTATTGCTGCCCTGTTGCCCTCACGCCAGGATGCAAGTCCTTCGACTTACCTTAGCAGAACACAGGCCAGAAATATGCGTAGATGTTTATCCACCAGGATTAAAGCAAAAAGAAAAGAGTTTTCTAGTCAACCCTAAAATCCAACTCACCAGAACTGTCAGCTTTCCCAGGGCCTCAAACTTGCCCCTTAAAGAGTTCCTAGAAAAGACTCGCAAGAGGCTTACCATGTTCATCCAGCAGTATGTTGTCTGGTTTGATGTCTCTGTAAAAGAAAACGAAGAGGCTGGCAATGTGAGTCCTGTAGCTCTTGATAAACACGACACACACCACCATTCAGCACAAATGCCCAAAACACCCCGTGTGCTTGGCCCTCCCTGCAGTGAGGTCTTGCTGAGGGAGCAGAAGAGTACAGTTGACCCTCATGCAACACGGTTTTCAGCTGTGTGGTTCCACTTAACGTGGATTTTTAAAAAATAAATGTCGTAAATATATTTTCCCTTCCTTACGATTTTCTCAGTAACATTTTTTTCTCTAGCATAAGAATACAGTATATATGTAACATACAGAATTTCTGTTAATTGTTCATGATATCGATAAGACTCTGATCAACAGTAGGCTATTAAGACTTAAGTTTTGAGAGAGTCGAAGGTTAGACATGGATTTTCAACTATGTGGGAGATCAACACCCCTAACCCTACCCCCAGAGTTGTTCAAGGGTCAGTTGTAATTAGGTTAACAGTGGAACATCCCTGTTCTTACTTCACTTCTCTAACCCGGAACTTCAAGGAAATTGTGTAAAAAAATTTTTATCCTGAATATTTTTTTTGAGAGATTTTTGCTATAGGGTATGTGCATTTGCTGGAGATACAGAAAGAGACAGAGACAGAAAGTGAGAAATTGCCCCTCAGAAGGGTGGCCATGCCACAATCACTTCTCCTTCAGATTCCTCTCTGGATTTGGGGGGAGTGGGTGGGTCTGGGACTTGAACTGTGGTTGACTGTGTGGGAGCCCAGCAATGTGACCATTATGCCATCTGCTGGTCCTTCCCGAATAGCCTTAATTTTTGGTCTTAGAGACCTAGGAACTAAATTCTGAGAAGGTCAGTAACTTGTGCAGGTCAGAGGTCAGCAAACTACAGCCCCTAGGCCAAATCCAGCCCTGGCCTGCCCTTGTATGGTGTCTGAGCTAAGATTGAGTCTTACATCTTTAAAGGGCTCAAAAAGCAAAACCAAAAGGAATATAAAAAAGAGACTAATGAGCCTTAATGCCTAAAGTAGGGGTTAGCAGGTGGCATGGTGGTTAAGGCTTTGCACTCCTACAGGGCCAACTGTAGTTCACTTCCTGGACCTGATGGCTTGAAAAAATCATACCAGGCATGTGTGCGTGTATGCCCCAAATCCTAAGAGGAGAATGGAGAAGGGACTGTAGCAAGGCTATCCCTCCTAGGAGGTGATTTCTCACTTTCCCTTTCAGTTTCTCTCTCTCTCTCTGTGGAGGGTACATGCACTTCATGGCAAAAACCTTTAAAAACATAGTTTTATTATCTGGTCCTTTACAGTGAAAGTTTGCTAACCCTTTTGTGGGGAGCAGGGCAACATGTGCAGACGCATCTGGGTAGGGAAATTTCTGGAAAGTTATGCTCTACATCACCATCAGAATAAAGGGCCTCCCAACTCCATGAAGTACTTTTAAAAGGCAGAGGCTGGGGCCTGCAAGTGGCATGGTGATTAAGAGCGCTGGACTCCCACACGACCAACCACAGTTCGAGTCCCAGATCTAGCAGCTTGCTTTCTCTGGTCCTTCTCTGTCAAATTTAGATGAATGAATAAATTAATTCTTAAAAAAATAAATGAATAAAGAAAGGCAGAGGCTTTGCTTTCCTCACTTCCACATCCCTGTACCTAGCCCACTGCCGGTCACTAGAAGACATATGAAAGAAACACCAATGAATGAGAGAAGGGGAGAGTGAGTGGAAGAGAAGGACAAAATGAAACCCCAGTTTACTTAGCGCGCACACGCCGACAGTTGCGGAAGCGTTCCACTAAAACCACAGCCCCACTCACTCAATAAATATCAGCTCTGCTGAGACGAATGATGGCTTTCTCTGAAACAAAGAGCAATGGCTCATGGGTTGATCAAATATTAATTTTATCTGAAAACACACTGTGCTTATTTGTAATCATGCAACCTAATGTCTGTGGGTTTGGGATGAAAGAAACACTCAACCTATATATTAACATTTTAATTTTAATTATGACTATGAATATTGATGAGCATTAAGTAAATGAGCCCCTGCTGCCAAATTCACAAAACATCCCCTGTGAACAAAGAGATTATTTGGGAGGCACTTGGGGGGCCTTGGGAGGGGTGAATTTGAGAACTTACAAAATTAAAACAAAAGGCAGAAGGCTCAGAGTCAAGTGTTTGGATGAAGTCAGCAAACACTGATCTCAGCCCAGGGCTGCTCCCAGTAGGGGTTCTCAAGAAAAGAACAAAAAAAGGGAAAATAAAATACGTGTTAAGAATGAAAACACAGCAGCAAATATTAAAGCTCAGCTTTTAAGGTATCAGTCGGACTGAGATGACCTTGCTCGGGGAGTAGCAAGGAGGAGGGGGTAGGCCCAGGGAGTAGGAACCACGATGTGCTTGCAAAGGCTAGCGTCCGCAGATGGAGTCAGAGTTAAGACAAAGGTGGAGTAGGGCTGGAAAGGCAGAGGATGAAGGCCAGGTGTACTGGGGTGAACAATGCGCCCTCCCAAATTCATGTTCACCCCAGAACTTCAGAATGGGCCTCATTTGGAAATGGAGTTTCTACAGATGCAATTAGCTAAGCATTTTAGATGAAATCATTCAGCATTTAGGGCAGACCCTGAATCTTCACAAGAGAAAGAAGACAGAGATTTGGACACAGCCGAGAAGAGGCCGTGGAAAGGCAGAGAGAGACGCAACGATGTTGCCACAAGCCGAGGACACTTGGAGCCACCACAGCTGGAAAAGCAGGAACAGGTTCTCCCCTAGCACTGCTGGAGAAAGCACAGCCTTCGCTCTAGGTTGACTCTGGACCCCGGCCAGAACTGTGCAAGAATACAGTTGTGTTGTTTTTGTTTCACCAGAGAGAGAGAGATGGGGATGGATCGGGAGAATGCACCCATGTTTGTGCTGTAATTCCTTCTCCTCTATTTTTCAACTCCATTGGGATTTTGAGCACTCATGCACATGTGCCCAGCATGTTTTTCAAGCTGGTAGGACTGGGATTCAAATAACAATCAGCTATGTGGGATCCAGCTCCCTTAACTACTAGGCTACAGGGCCAACCCACATTTATGTCGTATTAGGCCTCCAGTTTTGTGGTAATTTAATGTGGCAGCCACAGAACGCTAACACAACTGGTATAGTGGAAAGACAGGGCAAATCTCCATGGGCAGCAAGGGTCCCCACTGACCTCAGTGTGACCTTGGACAAGCCCGCCGCCTGTCCAAGCCCCTGCCTCTATGTGAGAAAGGTCCTGCTCATAGCATCTCGTATCATAGGAATAGTATAGGGGCACAGATGTGACTGGCTTGGTCACTAGACCCTACATCTTCAGGAAAAGGGGCTGTCCTGTCTGAAGAGTCTAGTTCAGGAGCTACACTGCCTGGGTTTCAACTCCAGGTCCTTCTCCTACTAGCTGGGTGATCCCTGCCTGTACCTCAATTTCTTTTGTTGTGTGTATTAAAAATCTGATAATATGGACCAGTAGGTGGTGTGGTGGTTAAGGTGCTAGACTCCCACATAGTTGACCATGGTGCAAGTCCTGGACTTGGCTACTTGCTTTCTCACTTTCTCTCTCTCTCTCTCTCTCTCTCTCTCTCTCTCTTGTCAAATTAAAAAATAATAAGAAGAAAATAAATAAGAGTGAGTGGAAGAGAAGGACAAAATGAAACCCCAATTTACTTAGCACGCACAAGCAGACAGTTTCTCAGCTTTTAGTACAGAATGGAATGTCAACCATTTACAGAGTATCCACTCTGTGATCCTAGGAGACACACAGTGAACAGAACAAACTCAGCCAAATGAAACGTGTATTCTATAATAGAAGGTAGGGGGAGATAAGCCAGAAAGCGCACAAATAAATGTCAATACCGCACATTGGGACAAGGGTTTGATGAAAACAAACCAGGTGTAGAAATAAGCTAATAGAGGGATCCTACTTTTAGTAGGTAGTCAGGGAAGGTCTCTCAGAAGAAGTGACATTAGGCTGACATCTGAATGTCAAGGAGGAGCCAGTCATGCACAATCTAGGAGCAAGTTCTCATTTGCAGATGAGGAAGCAGCGGCCAAGAGGAGAAATGACAACCTGTCACATGCTTCTAGCCCAGGGGCCATGGCAGAAAATATGAGTGTCTTTCCCTTGAATTGGTAATTATAGAGCAAAGGTGATGGGGCATCATTCCCATGACTATGTTATGTTATACAGGACTCTGTCTTAGCAGACAAGAGCGAGAGCCCCCCTGCCCCTTGCTGGCTTAGAAGACACGAGCAGTCACATGGCAGGAAATACAAGTGTCTCTGGGGGTTAAGAGTGGCCTCTAGCCAGTAGCTCACAAGAAAGAGAGATCTTGGTTCTGTAGCCACAAGAGCAGGATCTGCCAACAACCATGAGAGCTTGGGAGAGGACCACAGCCCAGTGGCACCTGGATGGCAGATCTGTGACACCTTAAGCAAAAGGCTCAGGTAAGCCATGCCTGGACTCCTGACCCATGGAAACAGGGAGAAAAGAAAAGTGAGATGTTTTAAGTTGCTGAGTAATTGGTACTAGGTTACACAGCAATAGAAAGCTATTGGATTAGCTACAGGGTTTTGGGGCAGCTTACTGTGTGCCTCATTTTTCTCATCTGGAAATGGAAATGATATATCTCACAGTTGCTGTGAGTGTGCAATGAATAACATTTACACAATGTTTAGTGCAGTTCCCAGTGCCTAAGAAGGGCTGAAATAATGACAGTGTAAAACTATAATTGCTTTTTGAAAAGGATTTGGGGGACTGCCTGTGGTGTGGCCATTAAGGCAGTTGGATCCCACATGGATGACTGTGTAGTTCAAGACCCAGATCCGGTGGCTTGAGAAACACACTGGGCACATGTGTGTGTCCAAAATCCTGAAAAGAGAAATGGAGAAGGGACTGTGGTGTGATCATCTCCAATGGAAGGTACTACTTCTCTCTCTTTCTCTCCAGCAAGCACACATACCTACAGCAAATAAATCAAAGGAGCTGGGGAGAAT